CCGGGGACTCCCCGGCCGTGGCCAAGGCGCTGCTGCGCTGGGACGAGGTGCCCGACGACTTCGTGGAGTGCTTCATCCTGTCGGGCTACCGGCGGCTTCCGTGCACCGCGCAGGAGTGCCTGGCCTCGGTGCTGAAGCCCACGAACGAGACGCTCAACTTCTGGACGCATTTCATCCCGCTCCTGCTGTTCCTGAGCAAGTTCTACCGCCTGTTCTTCCTGAGCGGCGGCGACGTGCCCTTCCACCACCCCTGGCTGCTGCCGCTGTGGTGCTACGCTTCGGGGGTGCTGCTGACCTTCGCCATGAGCTGCACGGCGCACGTGTTCAGCTGCCTGTCGCTGCGCCTGCGTGCCGCCTTCTTCTACCTGGACTACGCGTCCATCAGCTACTACGGCTTCGGCAGCACGGTGGCCTACTACTACTACTTGCTGCCTGGCCTGAGCTTGTTGGACGCCAGGGTCATGACTCCCTACGTGCAGCAGCGCCTGGGCTGGCACGTGGACTGCACGCACCTCATCGCCGCCTACCGCGCGCTGGTGCTGCCGGTGGCCTTCGTGCTGGCCGTGGCCTGCACCGTGGCCTGCTGCAAGAGCCGCACCGACTGGTGCTCCTACCCGTTCGCGCTGCGCACCTTCGTCTTCGTCATGCCGCTCAGCATGGCCTGCCCCATCATGCTGGAGAGCTGGCTCTTCGACCTGCGTGGAGAGAACCCCACGCTCTTCGTGCACTTCTACCGCCGCTACTTCTGGCTGGTGGTGGCCGCTTTCTTCAACGTGAGCAAGATCCCCGAGCGCATCCAGCCAGGCCTCTTTGACATCATCGGTCACAGCCACCAGCTCTTCCACATCTTCACTTTCCTCAGCATCTACGATCAGGTGTACTACGTGGAGGAGGGCCTGCGCCAGTTTCTCAAGGCCCCCCCTGCCGCACCCACCTTCTGGGGCACCGTGGGCTACATGCTGCTGCTGGTGGTTTGCCTCGGGCTGGTCATCAGGAAGTTCCTAAACAACACCGAATTCTGCAGTAAAAAGTGAGCCTCTGCCTCGGAGGAGGCTGCTGGTTCGCCCTGTTTCTTTGGAGTTTCTGTTGTTGCTACTGTTGATTTATTTTCACGTTTTGTTGTGTTTCCTTCTTTGCTCAAGGAGGGTGCTGCAGAACTCCAGGGAGAAGTCCCAGGCAAGGGGTGGGGGTGGGGTGGTTTCAGTGCACTGGGGGCTTTGGAAGAGGGAGGAAGAGGGCCGCTGGTTGTTGCCCCAGAACAAAAATCAGGTGGTGTCCGTGACACCCAGGGAATTTTCAAAGGCAGTGAATAAAATCCCCATGAAAGCCCCAAATAGTTCAGTTTTCCAGTTGTCTTCTGTGCCAGCAAATAAATAGCAAGTAGCCCCTGTAAGGTCAAGTAGGCAGTAAAGAGGGTAAGAAGACAGAATCCCCAGGTGCTTCCATTTCAGTCTAGGGAATGCTTGGATTTGTCAAAAGAATGGAGCTTTGTAGGAAACCAGCACAAAGACACAAACGCAGGGTTTAACCTGCTAGAAAATGCATGGAATGTGAACATAGTTGATTATTTCAAAATGCTTCTCAGATATTATTTAAATAGTAATATATACAATGATTTTTCATAATCTACAGGAGTCTCTGCTGGCACTGAATTTTCTTTGTCACGTAATTTTGAATTTTGCAGACCGTCGGCATTGCATACACTTGAACTGGACATCAGGGCCAGCTGCTTGAGAGTTCTCAACTACTTTTTTTAAACAGTGTTTTCTGATGGCCTTTGTGTGTCATGATTCAACTGTGAATTACTCTACTTTAGGGACTCTGGTCAAACTATTAGTGAGAAAGTTAGTGGTTTGTACAGATTCCAGGGCCTACTTACTTTTATGTATTGTCACAAAACCATCGTACTTTTGTTTTGCTTTGTTTTGAATCTTATTCTTTCCTTCTCTACTTATTTAAATTGCCACTGGAATAAATGTGCCTTTTGAAGCAATGCCCAAATGACTGGTCCTCAACACAGTTTTTGTATGGGGCGAGCAGTAGGGGTAAACTTGTCTTACTTTACTGCAAATCAAAATTTAGCATTTCACCCAGGAGGAAAGGAAGATGGTGTCGGTTGTAAGTTGTTGCTAGGACCAGAAGTAGCTTATGGTGATATAAGAGCCTCTGGTTTCTCTACAAAGAGAAGGAGCCGTCCGTCCACTAATGTGGCTTTGGTTCCTAATGCATCCACTGGAAAAAGTAGAGAGGACACTGATCCGACGAATGCCATCTATCCTTGCTTAAAATTTAACATAATATTGAAGAATAAATGAGGCAATTACACTATTGAAAGTCAGGGGCATATGACTTGAGTTGTAACTAAAGTTTTTCAGTTAGTAGGATTATACTTGCCCTGTTAAACACCGGAGTTTCGTTTGGATTCAGATCAGGGGAGTGAATGGCAGAGAACCTAAATGGTTGAAAGATTAGGGAACACTTCCCTGACATCCTTTCTAACCACCCCACTGACCAGTATTATTTAAGACATTTCTCATAGCTACTACCTAACCTATACTTGAGGTAGCAAGTCTAACAAAAACCACTGAAGGTGACTTAATTTTTCACACTCCCTCTTGGTGAATAGTCAAATAAGTCATTGAATGGAGAGTTTTGATTCATAATACGTATAATTTAGATCAAGCACATAAAGTAAATGAGCCTTTACCTTTGCACTGGTAGGCTGGCACTCCTAAAAAGATTGCTGTTTTTGTTTATGTTTTTTTTAACTGCCACTATATTTGTAAACACAGAGGCTTGGCACAGTTCTCTGGAGGAACCAGTATCCTTATAAGTTAATTTGCACGCAGAAGTTAATTTTATATAAGTCTGTATTTAATCTAGAACTGCTTCGTAGGGTCATAAATACCCTTTGCATGTTTGCTGATGGGTATCAGAATCTCAGTCTTTGCAAAGTGCAAGGTGTTTCCTGTTAGGTTAGAGACTGAGAATTTATGATTTGTCCTGGCTGTTCTTCCACATCCGTAACTTTATTCTGTACTTGTGTTCAAGCACAACTGGAAATGAGGATATTTCCACATGCAAATTGATTTGCATGTCATTGTTATCTCTTCTAGTGCCCAAAAAAAGATTGGGTTAGAAGTTTGGGAAAGTTGAGGACTCCCCCTTTCAGAAGGAACTGTCAAGTGACAGACTTCGCAAAAGGATTAATGAGTTTTTAAGAACAAGAAATAAAGCTATATTTGTCACTTAAAATTTTGTTGGACATGTTGGGATCCACACAATTCTCTTCTCACTGTGTCTTTATCATGAAGCAGAGGCCATTTGAGGATAACATTATACCCATATCATTTTCAAGTGATTATGATACATGAGCTCAGTAAGATGACATACTTTTTCCCTTCGAACGTTTCAGCATCCAGTATGTGGCTTTCCTCTCCTTTTGCTTCTACTACTTTTCCCTTTCCAGATTAGTTTTTGTATACCACGTGTGACATAGGTGAGGATATTTTGCTTTAGAACAATGGCTTGACTCCACATATGCATATACCTACTGTGTACACTATATAAGGTCAGGGGCCATTTGTGAAACTGTATGTTATTTGCTAAATTACATTGTATTTGTCAAGATGAATGATATTGTAGAATCAAATATTTACTAAATTTCCACATTTGTGTGGACCTATCCAGGTATATTAACATATTCAGGGATAAAATGGCAATCAGAATAAAATGTCTTTAAAAATATTTTTTCACACTCTCCATTTTGCCACATCAGTTAAAATGCAGCATCTTACTGTACTCAGCTGGTTGAAATGTAGGACAAATGATAAATAACGCACTTCACTATCTCTGTACAATCTATGTTGGGAAGTGTATTATATAATGGACTTTATTTTTACTTGTTAGTCATGATCTCGACATCTCAAGGAGCAGCACCATAGAGTCATGTATAGGAAATAGAAGTGTTTGACTTTACCCCGTGGGCTGATCTCGGCTTGACTCAGGCCAATTTCCTCAGTAGAGAAGGCTCCTTTCTTCCCTGTCCTTGCACCTTCAGGTGAAGCGAATGACCTCACCAGAGAGAGGAAGTGAGTTCTTGGGTCATGTCATGACTGACTTGTAAAAATAAATGTGATCTTTTCCATTGGCCATACACTTTCTATAAATAGCCCAGGGAGAAAGTGTAGGGCTACAGAGCCACCTAGAGTGGCCGCCACTTGTTTCCATTCATAAATCCTGCCTGCGAGTGCCACCAGCCACATCCATCATGCCACGTTAGGGGAACATTTCAAAGAATGCAGCATTTGGAGATGGAAGTGAATTTTTTCTGATTTGATGCTGCATCTGAAGGCTGACACAATAATATATCAGAGTCTTTATCTTAAAATACTTCATTATTTTAGTTAACCAAAAAGTATGTTAAAAAATTTAGTTTAATAAGTACAATTTAATTTAGTTAACTAACTTTAGTTAAACAAGCACAACACTGTGGTAGCAGAGAGGAACAGTAGGAGTTATCACCATACAAGGCTATTTGGCCAAGCACATAGACAATAATTATATTAATTGAGCAATGATAATATAATCCAATATAAACATATTTATACACACCCACATACACACATATATGCACACCTTTAATTGACACTGAATGTAAAATAAAGCAAAGTGACATATGGCTATCCTTGAAAGTCAATGATAAAACCTTAAAATGTTACCAGCCTTGTAAATGGTTATAATTTTGGAATGTTCTTCATCCCCTGAAATCTACACCACTACTGACTTTACTCTGTCAGTGTCCTTTGAGTTGATTTTAATGACCTCTTAGTGGTCATTCCAGAACCTGAACATATAAGACATTGGGCAAGTATCTATGCATATTATGACAGCTGTTACCCTTTGTTCCCTGATAGAATAGAGTTAAGAAATCCAGAAAGGCCCTGTGATCAGGCACCAAACTCTGACCTGGGCCTTAAGCCAACTGTTCTAAACCTCTGAGTTTTGTTCTTCTTCCTTTTCTGTTAGCATCCTGAGCAATGCACAGGATCACAATTCAATCAACATGCTAGTGTTCTGATAATCAGTTTATTTTTTTTCTTCCTGTTTTTTTTTTCTTGCCTGCCCCTAGGCTTATGTGGATTTTGTGATTAAAATACTTGAAAAGTTTAACATACAAACCAGCTGAAGGGATCGGAGGCATGTAGACACAAAAAGTTAAAAAAAAAAAAAAGTCACTTCTGATTAATAAAGATACAGCAATCACTGTTGGAGTGTGGTTCACCTGAATGCCCACAATGTAATGATGTTACATGGATTTCATAGCTAACATAATTAAGTTTGAAAAGGCAAGCTTATGTACTTACATCTCCAAAGAATATCTAAGAAGAATTCATGATCTCCAGTTCTCTCTTTTAAGATGTTGTTGTAAACAATGAAAAGTCTTAGGCAAAAAATAATTTGGAGGAAATTATAAAGAAAAAGATGTACGAGGGGGAAAGGAGAGAACAAGGAGGATGAGATTGAGCCAGTAAGTACCGGGCAGCAAGTTCACCGCTGGAAAATTTCATATGAAATTTATATTTTGCCTGGAACTCCACGGTGTTTGCTTTCAAATAGGGAGGCAAGGCATTGTACCTGGCAGCCTTTCACCTGATCACCATTAGCCAGGTATACCTGGGGTGGTCTTTTCCTTTGATGGAATGTCCTTCGTATGTACCCAGAAGCATAAGGCAAAAAAAGGTATTAGGGAATAGCACTAGCCAGTTGTAAATCATCCTTTGAATTATTTTCTTGAAGGACTGCCAAAACTCCCTGACATGTAACACCTGACAAAAAGCTAACATGCCTAGCCAGACTGAAGGAAGCAGCATGGATGGGCTTAATCTGAGTGCTGTGTGCCTTCGTGAGCAGCCACAAGCTTCCCAGGGAGGACTTTATTCTTCTTCAGCATTACACAGAACTGTTGAATTGTGGAAATGGAGGTCAGTGCTTAGTCATTATTCAAAAAGTTAATACAGATTTTTGTTGGGCAACTGCATTGCATTTCTGGTTTGCAGCTTTCTAATGAGTCTGTAGGTTTTGTTTTGTTTTTAAGAACAACTTCCTAACAGTCTGTGAGCAAGTTGCAGATTAGAGTGTTTATTTATAGGTCAGAGGCCAGAATGCTCATTTGACTGTTAATTGTGGCAGGATGTGACTTTTGAAAGTTCTAAACATGCATGTATGTGCAACAAAATTCTTGCTTATTTACTATATAACTGAATGGAAAACAAGCCCTTTTGTAGAGCTTTTGAAAATGTCCCCCAATGTTTTGTGCTACTAAATGTAACGCATGAGCTTTAATACTTTCTGTTTCTGAGCAATCTCTGGTATCTAGTCCAGGCGCAGCATTCATTTGTCAAGGAAGATTTCTTGAAAGTGCAAAATTATTGTTGAATGCATGGAAGTGACCACCTTTCTCATGCCTTACAACACCACCTAAAATATGCAATAAGAGGTAGGCGGAGAGTGTTCAGTTGGGCCTGGTGCTGGAGGGCTCCGCTCCTTGCAGCTCACCACAGCACCAAGGAGGGACACTGTGTGAATAAACCCTGGTTTCTAGATGACGGGTGTGTGGGGACACAATGGTTTCATTTCTTCTCTTAGTTCCATCTCTAGTTCTCTAATTAGAACGTGCAATCTGTTTTTAATATGTTCAATGCAAAAAAAGAAAAACTTGTAAGAAAGAGTTTTGTAAACTATTCTACTTTTATATTTTAAAAGTTTATATTAGCAATTCATTTGTAAAAACGGACCATAGCCCACTAATAAGAACCAGCACTTTTTGGAAAGCCTCATCTTTATCCTGGAATTTAATCACTTCGAGCTATTACCCAAATGATAAAGACCTATAAGGGCTTTAAAAATGTAAATAATGTGTAATTTAAAGAAGGGTGTAACAAACATTTTTTTTTTTTAAAGAAACAGTTCAGATAGGTTATAAGTGTGCAACAAGGCTAAATTTAAAAGTCTTTTAAATTTAAGTCATTGGGCCCTGCCTGGTGGCACAGTAGGTTAAAGCATAGCACTACAAGCGAGCTGCAGCTGCTTCAGTACGCGTTTGATCCCTGGTCCTGGAGGTGACCTACATGGTGCAGCAGATCTCTCCTGACCCACCCCCTGCTCCCCTCAGCACTTTTGTGATCTGCATATTCTGCTCCCCACTGGTGAATCCTCGTACCTCCCCTGCATCTCTGGCCTGTACCCGAGCTCTGTATGCCTAATAAATAAATCTTTAAAAAAAAAATTGAAGTGATTAAATTCTTTCTCCCAGCAAGGCTTAGTATAGAAATTCTACTCTCTACCAGGTTGAGTTTTTTTTGTGCCGGCTCTAAGCAAAAATGACTCCAAGCAACTGCTTACTAAGCAGTGAAGGGCTGAAGCACAGTTCATTTTGACGAAGGTATAAGCACAGTGAATACAGCCAGTGAAAAGTACAGCTTTGTGGGCTCTGTTACCTGCTCCTTTGGAGTGGAAAGAATAGGGCCCCAAGCAGGTCACTGCCATGACCAGGAAAGGCTTTCTGTGCTCTGGCTTGGGGAGGATTGTGGTGGCTCTTTATCTGCATAAAGTCTGTGTAGGCTCTGAACCTGCCTTTCAGCCTCCTCCCGGACCATCTTCACCACCCACGGGGCCTTAACTCTCCACAAGCTCAGTATTGAAGACAAAAGGCTTCTAAAAGGATTCCATGTGTATTTAGGCCTTCTCAAGCCATCTGCCTTATGAGGTTCATCCATTTCTAAACTAAGGATTTACAAGAATGGATGGCCAGCAGGTCCCCCTTTGCACTAAAGGGCATTCATTCACCGGCCATGCTCATTTTTCCCTCAGTGGGAGGCAGAGGATTAAATAGTGATCAAATAGAGACTACCTGTGTCCATTTTGGGTCTTTGTTGTTGTTGATCATTAAATGGCGATAATGGAGGGAAAAGGGAGTAAATGGTAATGCAGGCACTAAAAATGAAACTAACTGTTATCCACTGCTTGCTTAATTAATTCTTGTTAGTTTACCCTGACTCCAGTCTTCATGTACACCCTAAATAGTTGCATTTAACCAGTTAGCGAGGCTTTCTCAGGATACATGGTCTTCTATACAGGGTCTATAATGTGGTTTCAAATCCTTAGTATAGTCTGCCAGAAAAGCATTACAGACTCATTATTCCACATTACCCAGTAAACTAAGCAAAATAATCCATAGAAATAGGTAGCACTTTGGTCAGTTCTGTGCATGTAGCTGAACAAAATTTGTGACTCATCTCTGTTGTAGAATTTGCTATGATTTTGAGTTTGAGACATTTGTTTCCTCTGGTCTTGAATATGGAATTCTGTATAAAACTATTTAACTATGCATTTTTTTGCTGAAAAACAAATGTATGTAATAATAAATTATTTGTAAACACTGTTTTAGGACTGCATTTGTGTGGTTCTATGTTGTTCACAAGATAACCTTCAGCAAATAAATTATTCCTAAATTAATAGTAAAATATGCATACCATTACTAAACAAAATTCTAAAAGTATTCTTTTTATAAAAATGAACAGGCAAAAGGAGAGAGTACAGGTTTGTCCTGAAGAAGCACACTTAATGTATCACTTATTATAATTTTTGTTAAATACATGGAAAATTCATGAGTTACTGTGAAACTATATCTTCTAAGAAAATATTCATATAACCCAATTAATGTAGCTTTTTCTTATACCCTTCTCCCATTTTTCAAGAGCACTTGTGATTCGTGGCTTCTGTGCAATACAAGGTGTCCTGGAATCTTGGCAGTGTGTGTGAGTTTGCATTCTGTCCCAAATCACCCCAACAAAATGCCAACTTCAGTTCTTGGTGATCACTAAATCTTTAAATCATGTTGACTCTTGTTTAAGTGTTTCCTGGCTATCACAAACAGAAAAATTTCCTCTCAGGAAGGGTCTGTAGAAAGAATACTTGGGAATCCACAGGGTGCTAGCACGCGCGGTTCAGTCCTCAAGAGAGACAAGGAACAGGAGAGATTCCAGCTGGGAACTCCTGCCCGGGTCATTCTCCCGGCCACTGCTGCTATCATGAGCCAGCATCAGCTGCTTCCTGTCCCCAATTCCAGTTTCTGGGAAGAGCATCTGATTGACTTAGTATGGGTCCTGTGGACTCTTCTAGCATCAGAACTCACTTTGTAAGGTGCTTTGCAGTCCTTTATAAAGACACGCAGAGGGGAGAGAGTGGTTCCTCAAAGGGAAGATGGGCAGGCAGAAACAACAGGCAGTGACTTCATCTTCTACTGCTTTGGCTGTCTGAAACAGCAAACATCGGAACCCAACACCTGGGGAGTGTGAGGGTGAGGACTATGTGAGGCTGCGGGTTTGGTCAATGGGCACTATGGAAAGCATTGGTCCAGGCTAAGTGTCTTCCCAGAGACTCCCAATGTGGAATCTCTGTCCAAGCTCTGGAGCATCTGGTTGCCGAGGAGAAAGCTAAAAATGTGTCAGTAGCCCAAAGCAGCAGCAACCACTGTCCACATCTGGATGCCGGCACACCCTCCCTTTCTACTTACCCTTTCCTTCCTTCTTAAAAATAATACTTGTGGGCCCTCCCTGGTGGCACAGCGGGTTAAAGCACAGCACCAAGAACTAAAGCCACTGAGTATGAGTTCAATTCCTGACCCAGAGGTGATCCACATGGCGTGGCAGACCTCTCCTGACCCGCCCACTGCTCCCCTCAGCAGTGGATTTCAGTCGATCTGCCTGTTCTGCTCCCACTCTGTCTCTGGTGAATCCTCTCACCACACCTCTGGCCTGTACCCTACCTAGTTCTGCATAAATAAATAAATCTTAAAAAAAAAATACTTGTATAATCAATGTGTCCTTGACTCCTTCCCAAAGGCAACCAGATATCCTGAGTTAGAACTATAGCCACTTTCACCCAGGATCACTATGTGATGTGAATTCCTCTCATTCAGGTCAAGATGTGACTGAAACATCCAGCACCCTCCAGATCTCTCTACTGTGTCAGAGAACTGGTCTGCCGGCAGCAACTCACACTCAGAACAGTGAACAACTTCTAATAGCACACAGGAACCCTCACCTCCTGTGGTCTGGAAAGGACGGTCGCACCTTACACTGGCAGTGGGTGAATTCCCCAGCATCTGTATGTGTGGAGGTCTGCATACTGAGATGCAAGACCACTCCATGTTTAAGTGCCCTGCACTCCTGTGGTAGTTCTGTTTGCCTTCAGATCCATTTGTTAGTCTTTCTTCTCTTCTGCTAGGTACTGGAATTGATTCTTGTCTTCCTTGTTCTCTTAACTCTTTGTTGGGTCCTGGAGAAATGTCGGAGAGTGGATGGAAGCA